TATATATATATAAACAAAACAGTCACAAGTGGTAAATATAGATAGTATAGGTAGTATTTTTCCAAACTATTCTTTTAATTAAAGTTCAAGTTTTATAAATGCTAATAAAAAACATTTATTCAAATAAGAGATAGAACTTTATTGATCCTGCGGGAAATTATTGTATTGTATTGTATTATTGTATTGCTGCTCATTTCCCTCTTACATGTACCCAGAATTCCACATCCTCAATGTTAATTTTTTTTTTTTAAACTGCACTTCTGACACCAATGGTGAACTAGTGTGTGGCCGGGTCTGGGGGTCCTCCCCCAGAAAATGTTGAATAAAGTAGATGTCATTTCCTGCATTCTGGCGTATTTGAACAGGTTGTTAAACATCTGTATTTACCTAAATAAGTAAACACTTGATTCAGTGACTATTTTAAAGAGCATGGCACAACACAAAGTAGCCTGACCAACAGCTCTCCTTGTGTGAATAGAGCACGCTCCGCTCCTCCCATTCTTCTACCCCACCCCCGGTCGACAAATGACAACAATAACATAGTGCTAGCTAGCGTGTAACACAGGGATGTCTCCCCCTCCTCCCCCGGCCTCGTCAACAAAAAACCTCAAAGAGATGAGCGCCCTGCCAAGCGACCTCAGGGAAGCACTGCATACAGTGTGGTGAGTTGTTGTAGGTAACCAGGAAAACCCGGAATGGACTATTATTGCTTTGAGTATTCTCCTATTGATCAAGTGGAATGGATTTGTTCTCAAAGAAATAGAAACACCGCTAGGTGAATTAAAATTTCATGGTAAATGTGGGGGGGATCCAAACAAATATTTTTAAATGTGAGGGGGACACGTCCCCTTCACATGTATCATGTTGACAAGATCCATGTGACCAAAAACAAACAAAAATAAAATCTTTTTTTTTTAAGCTATTTTTTGCCATTTTATCAGATCTCCCTTCAGTACAAATCTGGCAGCTCCTTCTACCACACCTGTGGAGGAACCCTGGTCAAAACCGGATGGGTGATGACTGCTGCTCACTGTGTGGACAGGTAAGTGTTTTGTGCGTTACTGAACAGCTGGATAGTCTTAAACCAAAAGAAACATAAAATCTGGCAGACATGAACATGATTGTTTTACTACAAGTAAAGTAATAGTAGGTACTTGAATTTTAATCTGGTAAAACATTGACTTAAAATGTTTTTTCATTGTTTAAGAGGAAACATGTTGTTTTCTTGTGTGGCCACAGATCTATGACTTGGCGTGTTGTTCTTGGAGATCACAACATCAACACCAATGAGGGAAGAGAGCAGTATATGAGCGTGAGCCAAGTCTACGTTCACCCCAACTGGAACCCCAACAGCGTCGCTGGAGGGTTAGTTGTTACATGAACCACATCTACCCATACAAAATACCTGTATCTATATAAAAAAATTTATTAAAGTAGAGAACGTTTGTTTTTTGAGAAATATCAAAAAAGTTAAATTTCGCTAACAGTAAGCAAGGCAAAGTATGTTATTAATGTATCAAAGTTTTATTATACATTTTAGGGATAAACCGATTTATCGGGCCCGATTTCCTTAATTTGGGAAAATCGGAAATCGGCCGATACTTGCATGAGGAACAGATTTTATCGATTTTTTGTTTGTTTGTTTTAACAACAATTGTCTGAAATGTATTTATATTTCAGAGCACTACCTCATGGCCAGTTAAAACAAGTTTGTATTATTTCTAGGATATTGTTCAAGGGTCTGTTTTTCAACAAAATAAGATTGAAAATTGAAGGTGCATCGTGACCTTATAACACCTGACAGTGTCGATTATAAAACAAAATCGGAATCGGCCAAAATCGGAATCGGCAGGTCAGACTTTTTAGAAATCGGTGATCGTGATCGTCCAGAAAACTGCAAACGGTGCACCCCAATACATTTGTGTGTTTCAGAAATAAGATAATATGTTTCTATACTTTTTCTATGTTATAAAGCAACTTTGTTTTTTTTTTGTTTTTTTACTTTATATTAGATTGAAAGGCAGTCAGCACCAATTTGAGTATTAAACAAAAATGTCCTTTCAAGAAGCATCTTAACAATCTTACTTTTGCTTCTTTATTTCAGGTACGACATTGCTCTGCTGCGTCTGTCAACCAGTGCTGTTCTCAACAACTACGTCCAGCTTGCCAAACTGCCTCCTTCCGGTCAGGTTCTGCCCCATAACAACAACTGCTACATCACTGGATGGGGACGCACCCAGAGTGAGTCTAGCACGATCACACATTTTCATGAATAGTAAAGTCTTCCAGGATTTAGGACAGTTGTAAAATGTTTGTTTTTCCTTTTTTATTTTATTTTTTTTATTTTCCTGCAGCTGGTGGTAATCTGTCTGCTCAGCTGAAACAAGCCTACCTGCCTGTCGTTGACTACAGCACCTGCTCAAAGTACGATTGGTGGGGCAGCACTGTGAAGAACACCATGGTGTGTGCTGGTGGTGGCAACGATTCTGGATGTCAGGTGAGCCAAGACTAATTTCAAATATGTTATTGGTAAGAGTGTTGAATAAAAGCATTCTTAATCAGTTTTAAACATTACGCAAGAAAAAAAAAAGGAAAACAGAGTGAGAAATAGCTGAAAAATATATGGATAAGAATATTTTCATTATCTGGAGAATATTTTCAGTAAGGATGCTTAGATCTCCAGCATACTTTCTTGAGCTGTTGTCCAATCTTCCTCATAATTCTTCAGATAATTTTGGGGTAATGATAAAATTGGGCAAAACTGAGCAAAACAAAACAACAATAGACAGCTTTAATAGCTCCAACTAAGCAGTTTGCTGACCTCTTCTTGTCAAGCGCAATTTTTTTCAAGGACTTACGAGGCATTTCTTGCTGCTTCAGCAGGAGCATAAATCAGCTTCAGTGATCTTAGCTAGTGCTTAAGCTGCAGGCTCATGCTTTGCACGAAGCAACTCCAGGCTGACTGAGATTACCAGTGAGGAAGAATGTTCTTTGGAAAAATAAGACGATCTGTTGTAATGTTTGGCTTTGCTTTTGTCTGTTTGCAGGGTGACTCTGGCGGCCCCCTGAACTGCAACGTCGGAGGTCAGTGGGTTGTCCATGGCGTGACCAGCTTTGTGTCTTCCAGTGGCTGCAACGCCTACAAGAAGCCCACCGTCTTCACCCGTGTGTCTGCTTACACCAGCTGGATGAGCAGCGTCAGTATTTAAAAAACGGCTTAAAAAAAAATTACTTCCTTTCAACATCATCACTTACCACACTGTGTTTGCTTCTTCAGATCATGGGTTGAGAAGAGAAACCGTTTCCATGGCAATGGCAGACGAACCTGGATTCATTTCTGACACCACGACTATAAAATGTTCTTTAAATGACATTGATCTTGCTTCTTTATTTCTGGCAAAATAATATGAGATGCAGCATGCTCGACTTCTATTCTAACAAACCTGTAGGAACTGTTTAACTACAATCAAACACATGAATGTAGCTTTTTGTTGCAAATGGATCACAAGAAGAAGCATGAAGTGTATATAGAGCGCACTATAATAAAAAGACGTGTGACAAACAAAAGTAAAAAGCAGCATGTGGCAGCTTGATGTGAAACGCAGGTTACAGAAAAGGGAAACAAAAACAGTTACCACTGAGCATGCATCATTTGATTCAGCACGAGTTATTCATTTACACAGTATAAACACATTTTGACTGTGAAGTAGAGTTCTTGTCTGCCAGGCGTAACTCTTACTGCTATGTCTACTGTTTTTATTCAGTCCATAAAATAAAGTTTATCATGAGCAAATACAAAACCATACAATAGTTTATAACAATATTATAGTTTTGTAAGAGCGTTTATGTTGCCTGTACATCTTTCGTCTGATCAGCTAAATAAACCTGTAAGGAATTTTGGATCAGAAATGGTGCAACTGGTCAGGAAGTAGGCATTGGCAACTTATCTCTATATTCAGTAGGTTTGAGTCAATGACAGCAAATGCTGTGTCCCTATGGGGAAGTGGCCATATGGTGAGGGTAATGATCTCCATCCTGCTGTGGATACCTGTCACATTGTTCTGTTGTTAACACAGATTTTGTGTAAATGTGAACTCAGTGGAGCTCCAAATTTATGTCGGGTTAATAAAACATACTGAATGGGCCAACTCTTCTAAAATAATGACTGGTGTTTCATTCATTAAATGCTTCATCCTGTTTCAATAGGCTGCTTCTGTCACCAGACGAGAAGTTATCCATCACAAATGAGACAATGATGCATGTTCACACTCACTTCTATGGTCAGTTTGCATCCAGCAGTTAATCTAACATTGTATTTTTAAAACTGTGGTAAAACTTTTTCTTTTTTTTTTAATGTGAGGGTTTTTTTCACCAACTGTATGGAAAACTCTAAAGATTCAAACCAGAGACTTTGCTTTGAGGTGAAGTGTTAATCACCACGACCCAGTGCTATTCCATTCTATAGTTCATACAAACATGAATGATAAGTCTTCATAGAATCAGTTACTATAGTTAAATGTTGCCTTGTATTATGTTTTGCATCATATAGCTTTGAAACACACAAAACAGTTAGTCAGAAGAACAACAATTCCTAGTATTTTGGAGTTGTATGCTGGTGAAGATTCTCACACATCCAGGTCATGATCAATAAATAAAAAAAAGGTTAAAAATAAAAAAAAGAAACAGCACAGCCACAAAAAGGGAAATTTTGAAGCACTTCCTGTTTCCTTCTGCTGACAAGCTTTGATTTTTACATGCATGTGTACAGCAGGTGTAAGAAGTCCAGTTGTTTGGGGTTTTTACCTTTTCTTGGTTTGGAATTGTTGCTTTAGTCATTTTTTTTTTTCAATTTTATCATCCAGCCTTAACCTTGCCTTTTTTAGTTTTATTTATTTGCAAAACTGTTGAAGAATATTTGATTTTGTTTTTTGTGCAACTGAATCCGAGTGTTTAAACCTGACTTGTTTAATAGGGAATTGCTGTGAATTCCCTGACTTTTATTTTTTTTTACAAGAAACGTGTAATTATGCAGAGGCAGCAACAAACTGACTGTTTCACTGGGACTTTAGGTCGACAGGATTGTAAATGCAGCTCACACGGTGGAGCTGAGTGACAGAGGGACCGGTCACATTAGGTCTCAGTACAGAGACAGGGAACTAAATGCCACATGAATATGATTAGATGTTAGCACATGCACAGATGTGTGAGTGCCAATTATATTATACAAAAGCAGCTCATATGCATAATTATATAGGATTTATTTCCTGAGAAAAAAAAAAAGTAATAATACCTGAGCAAAATATCTGTTTATGAAGACTATGCCTTTTGTTGAACACTCCAGAAAAGGTGACTGTGCACTTTAAATCTATACGCTCATCAAGACAGTTGGCTTGTAGTGTTTCACTTTATATTGATCTTCTGTAATAATAATAATACACAATACACAAAGTGAATGATTCATTGTGTTAAGATAATGAATTGTATGTGAATTGTTAGGGATGGGATATGCAAATTTTCAGTAATCTCTGCACACCATTTTAAGGCCGTCACTAAACATTAGAAAACTAATTAGTAAGTTATAAAGAGTTAATTAGCACATATTTTATAGATAACATTTTTTACAACATTCGCACCTTTGTGTATTTAATTTCAATTCAATTCAAAATACTTTATTAATCCCAGAGGGAAATTAAATAAAAATAAATCAAAAGATCACTGCATCTCTAGGAGGAAGTCGTCGGCCATGTTAACAAATCCCCACCTTTTAGACCAATTATATACATTTATCAATTTCTCTGCTTGATTACGGTAATTAAAGTTTTGTGAGACAACGCCTCACAATCCAACACTGTTAAGGGAAAGCTGCTGTAACTCTTGCTAACATTTTGTAAAATCATCTCACAGGCTGCAGCTGTTTGATAGTTACAAAAAAGAAGGAAGTTTTATTTTACACACAGAAGTGTCCACAGGAGAGATTTAGCTTCTTCTGTTTCCATGCTTGAATCATCACTGACTTCAGAGGATTCAAAAGAAACAAACAAGCTTTAAAATAGCTGAACTGGTTTTTAGGCTCCTCATCAAAAACTTGCTGTGATCTCCCTCTGCTTTGAAATTAAGTTGCCAAGAAACTGCAGGTCTTTTTAGTAAAGAAAACGTATCCTCGGTGTGAAAATTCCTAAAATATTTAACTGTCAGGAAAAATCTTTTGATATTTCATAAGCATACGCGCCTGATATTTCTGTTTGCAAATGTCCCTTAACTGCTGTGTCTTTAATGTGAAGTGTGCTTACAAAGTTATCAGCAGTGTTATAGATGGGAATGAGGAAAATGAGGGTGTGCTTTCTCCTCACTTTACACTTTTTTGTTTGTTTTGCAGTAGTTAAAATTCATTCATTCAACCTTTATTTAGACAGGTAATCCCATTGAGCCTCGAGGACTCATTTACAAGAGAGACCTGATTTCAACAAAGAAAAATTACAACAATGGACAACAGCAACAAAAATGGGTCAACAGATCAGTTTACTGACTAACAGCTTAATTAATGTGTTCACCCTTTAATAATCAGAGCTCAGTCACTGAAGCAGAATTAAATTTCAATGAACTCTACATCATATCAAATTAATATTTACCCAAATGAGGAGTCCAAATTTGTCTTTGAAGTTTAATTACAAAATTATTAACCAAAAAAATAGAATATGAACAAAAATATATAAAACATACACAACAAAGACAAATTTGGATAAAACATAGAAGTAAGAATTTACTATTTATTTATACAGTATTATTAAAGATAAGCAATAATGAATTCTCTCTTACCCAAAAGAAAAATAATTCTTGGGACAGAATTTATTTTGTTTTTTATAAAGTTGAACCATTTGATAAAGAGTTTACTTTGGGATTTGGATGAGCGATGTTATTAAATTTAATCAGATGAAGTGATTTATTAGAACTGCAAGCAAGGACATAATATTTATCAAGTTGCCTCAGCTAAAAGTGTTTCAACCAGACCTGACATGCTGTCCACACCCAGGTGAAGAAGAATTGGAGGGCTTTATGGAGGTACAGCCGGCATGCAGTTTGCCTCCCAGGAGCTGAGGTGTGGTGTACCTGTCCAACAATGAAAGGGGTTGTTTGGACCCTGGAGTCAACTGGGGGTCAGTTGAGGTCAACAGCCTGTTCATAATATTGAGGCTGAGGGTGGCAGAGTTGGAACAGGCCGGGAGAGTCAAGAAGAGACAGCAGTCCCAGGCTTATCTCAAAGCCACAAGACTTGTAATAAAATAAAATAAAAAAAACTGTACTGATTACGCCAACATTTTTGGCAGAAACTGTCCAGATGACCTGACTGAAAAATGTTGGATTGTATACCTGGATTATTGAACATGGACTTTGTTGTACTAATTACTGTAGCTCTTTTTATTTGGCTTTAACAAAAAAATGTTTCAGAGCAAATTTTGTTTCTTTCGAGGTGCGAAGCTTAATGGACAATAAGACAAAACACATCAGGAAAGACGGGCAAAGACCAGAAGACATGAATCTGTCTCACAAGCGCACAGCTTTTGTGTGATTTTTCAGCTCCAAGAACAGGCCTGGGATTTCCTGACAGTTCTGACTATTGTCTGATGTGCAAAAGCCTCTTCTGCCCCAAAACTTCAAACAGAGTTGTGGTGTCACCCAAAGTTGGTTCTGTTCTGAGAACAAAGTAGAGAAAATATGTTAAAGCGTATAACATTTCACATTATTTACTAATAACACTTGCAATCAGCATAATTCATAATTTAAACACATCATAATTAAAAAAAAACTCAATTTTATGAATGTTTCTTTATCGAAAACTTAAAAGAAATGTGTAAATATTCATCAAGCTGTATGTAATTAATTATATAGGTCAAGTGACTTTACCATACCATACCATACCAATTTATTTATATAGCACTTAAAACAGCAACAAGGGCAACCAAAGTGCTGTACAAAAGAACACAAACATGCACAGCAGACAGGAAAACATAAAATAGAAATACAGATACAAATAGCAGCAGAAGCCAACTAAAATGGCCAACAGAGTAGAGAACAGACCGGACCAAAACAAATCACACCGTGTTAAAGGCAAGCGAATAGAAGTGGGTCTTCAAGCGAGACTTAAAGACTGAGAGTGTGGGAGCCTGCCGGACACTCAATGGCAACTCATTCCACAGTCGTGGACCTGCAACAGAGAAAGCCCTGTCACCCCTGAGCTTACGACGGGTTTCTGGGACTGAGAGAAGCATCTGGTCTGCTGACCTCAGAGAGCGCGGTGGGACATATGGCTGCAGAAGATCAGTGAGATAGGATGGGGCGGAACTGTTCAGTGATTTAAAAACATACATGAGAATTTTGAAATGGATCCGAAGGTGAATGGGTAGCCAGTGCAGGGAGGCCAAAACTGGCGTGATGTGCTCTCTATAGCCTGTACCAGTTAAAAATCGGGCTGCAGCATTTTGGACCAGTTGTAGACGAGCAATGGAGGACTGACTGATTCCAAACAGAAGTGAATTGCAGTAATCAAGTCTAGATGTTATGAAGGCGTGGATCACTGTCTCGAGGTTCTTTTTGGAGAGTATAGGCTTCAGCTTAGACAGCCGTCTCAGCTGAAAAAAACAGGATTTTACCATCATGTTTACGTGACTGTTGAGTTTTAAGGATGGGTCCATTATCACCCCCAGATTAGTGAAGAGGGGAGTTACAACCTGTGATGCCTTGGCAACCAGGGAGAAGCACTCTCCATCCTACCCAAAGAACCCCGCATCCTCAAAATAAATAGAAAAAAAACCTATATGCATGTCCCTAAGGGTTAAGTTTAGGGCTAGGGGTCATGTGGGACATTAAAAATTATGTTAAGGTTAGGATAAGGACAGGTAAGAATAATTGGTTAAAATATGTACCAATTATAGGGAAAGGTTGGATATCCAAACAGATTCTGCAGCCTTCCTCTGGGAAGTGGTCCAGTATCTGTTGGATTCTAAAACCGTGGCTGAAATGGAATTAGACCCATGAATACTAAAATGGATTGTGAGTTCTGAATTGGCTTGCCCAGGGGTTTGTGAATTGAACTTATGCTGGCAAAGCCTAGTGATGAGGGCTGTACTAGTTTCACCCACAAATTGAGATTCACAAAGTCTG